CGCCTGCTGCCTTTCGATGTTGAAGATGACTCGCACAGGGACGATGCCCTTCGTGGCATTCTCAAGAACCTCTTCATCTCCATCAGTGCCGAGGACTTCTCGCCGGGTGCCCTCCACTGGACCCGCGAACTCCAGGGGTGGCTGAACCTCAAGTTCGAGATGACGCGGGAGTTGCGCTCTCGGCTTGCTCGCCTATACTACCACCTCGCCCTAGCACCGGGGCTCGATAATAATACGGCCGATCGCTTCTCCCGCATGGTCATCACGTTGACAAGGTTCGCCTCTCTTCCCCCTCTTCAAGAATCTTGCTTGGCATACTGATTATTCTCCAACTGCAGGAAAAGGCACTACTTGAAACCTGGCGAGGACCTCACTTTTGATTGGCGGCCGCTTTAGAAAGAACTCAAGGCCCTGGTTTTGCCATCGGAGACGGCTTCCCACCAGGGGTCGCGGAGGCGGTCGTCGAAGCATATTCTGAAGCTCTGCCTACACGCAAGCGCCTACTTTGACCCCAAGGAGCGCCGCGCGATTTTGGAGGAGCTCCTCCCCTATTTCAGCACATCGGCCATATCAAATGCCTACATCGTTGCCGGCGCCCTTAACGCCATGTTGCCCACTGGCCCCGCCCCCCCCTACGGAGCCCCAGTCGCAACCATCCGATTTTGTTCCGACCTTCTTCCACCTATGGTCGCTCATGACGAGGTCAAAAGGTTTCGATATCTGTTTCATCGACATCTTTTCGCGCATGGCTCGCGACTACCTTGGCTGCACCCATGTGCCTTTCACCGAGCACGGCATCTTCTCTCGCGAGCAGTCAGACCTCATCTTCACGGCCATCCTGCGATTGACCGAGATCCCTGTAGGCCAGGCTACCTCTCCTTACACCACGCTCGATTATGCATCGGGCCTGGGCGTTTACTTGGAGAAGGATAAGAAGAAATACCCGGTGCCGTACATGGTCGCACGGTGGATTGGCCATTCCTTGTCTCCCCTCTGCCTCAAGCAAGAGAGTTCTATCTTGGCAAACCTTGAGGGCCTGATGGAGTCTATTGACACCTTCTTCCATCCATCCAACCAAGGCTCATGGACTGGGTTTTTAGCACAGCTTACATTCTTTCTTACCGACATTTTCGTTTCTCGCTGGAATCGCGAACAAAGCGGCGAGCTCGACATACCCTCCGAGCGCCGGATTAATGTCGAATTGAAGAAGCGCTTCGTCATTGCCTTGAGGGAGGTGACTTTCATGGGGCTTTTTGCGAAGAGTTCCAAGGTGGTGAACTACTACTACTCTACCCTGCAAGGCCTCGCCTACCTTGAGCCGGACTTGATCCTTCCTGGTGCCTTGCAGCGCTTCTACCCTAGCCTACAAGGGCTTGTCGAGGTCCATCGGACGACATCCAGTCTCTGCGGCCTCCAGATGATTGCCAACATCATGTCGAAGAAGAAGGGGTACCGCTGCCACATCACCGCCCTGTTGGCGCTTGCCCTGCCCGGTATTGATGCGAACGACCTGGGGAAGACGCTCTACACGCTCTACTTCATCCAGAGCGTAGCCTACAGCATCCCATTTGTGCCCTTGGCACACCAGGACGACAGGATCCACGATACGAGCCTTGCCATGGATTGGGTGCAGGCCGAGATGGAGCGAATGGAACGGGAAGGGCAGGATGTCAAGATATGCTACGACGAGGAGCTGACAGACGAAGACGAAGCAAACGTCCTGCGCTCCTCGACTGCCGGCCTTGGCGAATTCGTACTCGCCTTGTTGGGCAAGGTGTTTGCATTGCTAGAAAATCTGCCGGACCCGAGCCTTCTTCGCACCGGATCCCCAGAGGAAAATGTCATCAACACCTTGCCGGCTGCGCTTACACCGCTTTTCGCATCATTATCCCCGGAGCTTTTCGATATGGCGCTTGAGAAGCTCGCGGCCTTCGTTACCAGCCACGTGGTCCACCAGGCTCGGGATGCGATGGCATGGATTTGCAATGCTTTGTGCAAAGTCAACCCGGAGAAAACCTTGAAGGTCTTCATCCCGATGTTGCTGGTCAATATTCGCAACGAAATCGATTACAATGGCGCAGCGTCAGACCGCAGCAGCGGCACCGAGGTGCTTCCCCGGGACCGCGCGCTGGTCTGGCACGTCAGCATGCTTAGTATGTGCGTAGTCCACGTTGGCGCCGAGGTCTTGAAGTACAAGGACGACCTCTTCGGGATTGCCGAATACATGCAAGAGAAGTGCCGCGGCCTGCCCACAATCCACATCTCCAACTACATCCACCACCTGCTCCTCAACCTAACACACACCTACCCAATCGACAACACCCTCTACGAGCCCGACCACATCGCCCGTGGCTTGGATGTTCATGACTGGGGTCGCACAACCGCCCCTTCCGAGCTTACCATCAAGTGGCATCGTCCCTCGCAGGCTGAGATCCTGTTTGCGGTTGAGCTCTTCGAGAGCCAGGCCAGGAGTGCTTGTGAGAGGCTGGGCCAGTTGATGAGCGACGATCCGCCCGTTAGCAGGAAGGGCAAGAACAAGGAGTGGTCTGATGAGCTATCACGGAGCCTGACTGCTCTTAGGCTGATACTCTCAGGTATCGCCACGCTCTTTGACCCGCTCCTGCGCCTCGGGCGAGAGGCACGGCCAGGGGCGCCAACGAAGGAGGAGAAGAGCGACGCGGATGGTGACACTATGATGATGGAGGAGGACGATGACCCCCTCGCTGAGGTGGCTGACGATGACGAGCTGAAGCGAAAGTTCCATTACCCAGCCGGGTACTTACTGAGCCCGCAAGATCCAGTGTATGAAGCGCATTCATGGCCTGCGTGAAGACGTTGGCAAGGTTCTCTCGCGCACGCACGCATTCTTGAACACGAGCCAGGAGGACGATGTTGCGTGCTTCACCGCACTGTACGCCGCGTATAGGACGTGGATTACCGATGTCGGTATCGAACGGTCTGCTCACCCGCTTGAGCGTCTTGTCCGCCTGTACAAGGCCGACATTTCTCCCTTCAAAATCAGCGGCCTCCGGAAAGTCTACCCCCGGCCGCTGCTGATCAAGCGCGCGGACGCCTACCAACTTCAACGCGTCAAGTACAATGCCGCGTACCGTAAAAAGAGTGAGCTCGACAAGCAGCTGCTGCTTGATCTTGCCGAATCATGTACCTCCTCATATTCTGATGTGCGTCGAGTGGCCCAAGGCGCCCAAGATTCATCCCTCAAAGTTCTGCTCGGAGGAAGGCCGCTTGTCATACCTGTCGTTCTGGATAGACTACGGACTGCACTGGAGGAGAACGACCATGACCGCATTAAAGGAGCCATGTACACCCTTCTGTTCACCACCCTAATCAAGACCGTCATGAGAGACTGGCGCTTTGCTCCAGACCTCATGCGCCTGTACATCCAGACCGCCAGCGTCGATAAGGCATCCATTCAGAACCTCGGGTCGTCCGCCCTTTATCCGCTCCTCGAGTTTGGCAAGCCGCTCGAACGCATGATCATTTTTGACCAAAAGGTCATCGACACGATCCGGCCTAGCGAAGATTGTTCGGCCACTATCAAGCGCCGCAACGACTTTATTAAAGATCGTCGCAAGAAAGTCGAGATGAAGAAAGCCGCGTTGGGTTTGGAGCTAACCGAGAAAGCGCGCGAGTCCCACTGGAAGGTTGCAAACAGGTGCACTATCTTTGCGCTGAACTGCACCTTTGCGGTTTGACACCCTCGGCAACCCGAAGTTTATCGACCTCATTGCCAATGGCGCCAACGACCAGCACCCGAGTCTACGGTCAAATTACCTATCTGCCTTCTCTGCGCTTTTTACCGCCATCGACATGCGAGCGGTCTACGGACACGACTATAGGAACTACCTCACCGAGAAGGAGAACGACGAGAATAAAACCCTACTTTCCGGTGCCGACCGATGACCCTGACTTGACGGAGAAATTCCTTGACCAGTTCGGGAATCTTGACGAGGTTAACTACTTCGTCGATTGTAATCACCCGGGCTGGCTCGTGTGGGGGAACGAAATCACCGTGTCCCGAGCAAGTCCGAAGCCGTTCTTGGCCTACGACGAAGTCGAAACCCAGGTGCGTGAACGGATCGGAAAGATCATCACCAAGGAGTGGTTCAAAACATGCTTCGAGTACCTCAAGCAGGAGCCGAGAGATTCTGGGGCAGACCGTTTCCGCATGCAAAACGTCGTATTGCTCATGAACGTATTTGACCTGATGCACTACGGGAAAACGTCTGCCACATTTAACGACATTGTGGAGATGACCAAGGACGTGTATGGTGATGGCAGCGATAAGCACCAGCACCGAGCAACTGCTGAAATCCTCGGTGCGCTGCTAACGGGCAGCGCTGACGACCCGAAGGACATTCGGGACAAGGTATGGGAGTTCGCGGCGCCAATGATGCTCAAGATCATTGCCGATGACTTGACTCCCGACAATCTGTCCTACTGGATGACGTGCCTCCACGTCATAATCGACGGTAAAGATCCGCGACGATCTCATGAGCTCACCGAAGCCTTAGCATCGTTCCGACTGGACATGAACTCGAACGCCGCGTTCAAGGAGTCGTCCAAGCTCCAGCTTATCGAGTTTATCATTAACGATGCTGGTTGGCACTTCCGCAAGGAGGAACCCATTCTTGAAGACTGCCTCGCCCATATCGACCATCCGTACAAGTCGGTAAGAGAGTCGATCGGCAGAATCATCGCCACGATCTACCGCACCCGCTACCACGAGTCCTTCAAGGACGTCTCGACGCTGCTAGAGAAGAACAAGGCCGAATCCTCCATAGGTCTCCGGGCTTACCAGCCGTCGCAAGAATTTACAACCACCATTACGGATGTCTTCGCCCGCATTGAGAAATGGCGCCACGAGCGCGCCCCTGGTCAACAAACCCCTTCCAGCTACACCTCGGGTTCTAAGACGGTCCTCACATGGCTCGACAGCATGCTCTCCTCGCAAGAGTGCATCCAATTGGTCCCGTTCTTCCCAGACCCCTTCATCGACCAGCTCCTCCACATGATGGACGTCAAAGAGGACCCAGAGCTGATGAAACTCGCCTACCACGTCTACCGGCACCTACCCAACATTCCGTTCCGGTCGGGCGAGGACGACGCCTTCATCGCCGCGCTCATCCGCGTCGGCAAAACTGCCGCGTCGTGGCACCAGCGCCTGCGCGCCCTCGTCAACATGCAGGTCGTCTACTTCCGCCGCCTCTTCCTCACGCAGCCCGCCCAGCGCCAAATGCTCTTCGACGCCGTCGGCGACATGCTCGCGGACCCGCAACTCGAGGTCCGCGACTGCGCTAGTGCCACCCTCGCCGGCATGATCCGCTGCTCGCCCGCATCCCTCCGCAACCCCATCATCTACCAACTCAAGGACCGCTTCGAGCTGCAGCTCCGCCTGAACCCCATGCCCAAGCGGAAGGTCCCCGGCACGGACACGCCCGTGGACACGCAGAAGCAGATCGTCCGCCGTCATGCTGCCGTTCTGGGCCTGGGCGCCCTGATCGAGGCCTTCCCCTACGCCACGCCGCCGCCCAAGTGGATGCCGGAGGTCCTGGCGGGTTTGGCCACGCGCGCTGCTAATGACCCGGGAGTTGTCGGCAAGGCTACGAAGGCGATTTTGGCGGAGTTCAAGAAGACGAGGCAGGATAGTTGGGGTGTGGATCAGAAGGTATGTCTTTTTTTTGGTTTCCCCCGCTGCGTTTACCATCATGCGTAGCATTGCTTTTGCTATTCTGGGTGATGTGATATCAATACCCCCTTTCCTTCAAGAGATCGTGACTGACATATGCTGGATGCAGTACTTTACGAGCGAGCAGCTCGAGGACCTAGAGGGTGTGCTCTGGAAGAGCTATTTCGCTTGAGGGAAGAAAGGGAAAGAAAAGCACAAATGGTTTGGTGCTCAACATGGGCCGCTGGTTGTGGGGGAACGCATCGCCGGTGGCTACCTAGATCTGGAGAATTGGGATGGGCACTGAACGGAGCATGGGATGGCCTAATGACAAATATGTTGTATCGCTGTATTGCTGAGAGTAGTCATGGGAAATGGGCATTTGGGGAGGGTCATTGCCATGCTGCATTGTGTTTACAAATTGGCGGAGAGCAGGATTTGGGTCATTGGGGCGGGATAAGGGATAAAGCGCTCGCATTAGATAGGTAGGTAGGTTTGAGTATGGTTATAGAGAGTACTCTTTCTCGAGGGTATGGAAACGGAGAGGTTGCCAGACATGACGAAAAGAGAGAAAGGCGTTGGTTCGTTAACGGAAGTGTTCAGCTGCAAGTGGGTTCCACGATTGGATGGAGTCAACACCGAAAATGCAACCCGATGGGACGGTTAGTTGCAACAGCTATGGAAAAAATAATTTAGAAAAGTAATATTTGAACGTGAAATAGTTAGTTGATGTGTCCTTCACGTTGATGGCTGGTTCAAACACAATGAAAATCGGAGCCAAAATGATCTCAAAAAAGGAATGACATCGGAGCAAAAGATGATCGACCCAGGGATCGAACCTGGCACCTTCTCGGTGGGAGAACCCATTTATTCAACTTTGTGAACGAGACGTGATAACCACTACACCAGTCGACCATTGATACTAAGGGGCGTGAAGCAGTTCTTTTGTCCTACAGCGGAGGGTCGCATCGCTGCCTCCCTTGTCCCGCACAGGAGTGACCGTGCCGCGCGCAGCCGGCACGCCAAAGAAGCCTGGAGGAACGTTTTCTAGAACTAGTTAGTTGTTTGAGTGCTTTTTTTTTTTTTTTTTTTTTTTTTTTTTTGCAAATCTGTGATGCTATGGTTGGCAGTTGGCGGTACGCAGCTATCGCTGCCATTAAAGTTGCTTCTCCCCACCGAGAATTGCGAGAGTCAACCACGTCATTGTTTTTTTTTCTTTTTTTTTTCTTCTTCATTTCATGATGGTTATTTACAAATGCTGGGAAAGTAAGGAAATGTGGTTTCTTCAGCCAGACTAGCGTCTAATCGTATAGTCGCGCCCTCTTTTTTCCCGCTGTAGACCTTTTGCTTCGGATCGGCTCCGGATAAGTTTGCTTCTTTCTCTTTCTTGTTGGAGTGGTGTCCACCGGAGCGAGTTGATCTTCCAACAACTGCTCTGTGTCTGAACCGTCGTCGGTGTGACCGGTATCTTCTTTGTGGTTAGCCTAGTTAGCGAGCTGGAAGGAAGTCATACCTGGGCTTGAAATTGTAAGCACTGGCTCTGTGTGGGTTGTGGTCGAGTTCGGCGGTGCTTCAAGGGTGGCCGGTGGCTCGGTTGCCTCATGATCCGGATGCTTCCGGGGCTGTGCCAGGTTTTTTTCTTTATTTGCTAATGAGTTTTGGCCGCCAACGGGTGAGGAGAATGGGTTCCAGCTTGTGATTCCTCGTGGACCGGTTGAGCGTGGTGTTGTGGGCACTGTGCTAGGTCGTATGGGTGTCGTGTTGTGAGCGGTTAAACTGCTTTGTCGAATAGACTCCCGGTCGTCTGGAAGAACTACTGGGATGCGAACGCTTGTGTCGACGAGTTGAGGGCCTTGGATGAGGTTTCGATCGAGAACTCCCAGGAGGCGACCGCTGCATGCGATCCAGGATCCTCTTGGAAATGGGTTGACAGCTGTTCGCATCCAGCCGGCTAACGACTTCCACGGTTGTTGTTCAACGGCAAAGACGAAGGACAGCAGCGTGACGGCAACTATCCAGGGCAGGCAAGCGAATCTATCTTCTGCGCATGACGATGGGCCTCATGGGAGCCCATAGCGGCACATTCACAGAGACGGAGGGTCAGCGGACGAAGTCGGTCTGGGCGGACAGATGCAGCTCGAGTTCGGCCGTTATGCGACGTACGTCGATGTCGCCTTTGGGCTTACGAGGCACTGGACCTAAACAAGCTCCAGTCGCTGGCGGTATAATACCAGCAGCGTTCCTTGACGACCGCGGCACGCGGCTGCAAGAAGAGGGGGGCCGGCAGCACTTCCAGTACGTCGGCGGCGAGGGCGGCACGGGCAAATCTCGCGTCATCCACGCAATCCACGACATGTTCCGGCTGAAGGACGGTCTCCATACGCTGCTCCTGACGGGCGCCAGCGGCAACGCGGCCGCGCTGATCGGCGGGGTGACGTTGCACTCGGCGACCAACATTGGATTCGAGGGCAAGAACGAGGTTGCAAGGAACATATCGGAAGAAGAAAAGCTGCGTTGGAAAAATATGGTCATATTGATCGTCGACGAGATCAGCCAGGTGGGCGGACTCACGCTCGCGGCGGTAGACAGCCGTCTGCGGCAGTACAGGGACGACCAGCATCGCCCGTTTGGCGGGATCCCAATGGTCCTGTCTCTTCGGCGACTTTTTTCAGTTCGACCCCGTTCTGCAGACCAGTCATCCTCTTGCCAATGCCTAGGGACCGCGGCGGACAGAGACCAGAGAGCGCTGCAAGGCACCTAGCTGCGCATAAGCTGTTCCTCCAGTTCACCACCGTTGTCATCCTCCGCGAACAGGTCCGCGCGGCCGGCTGTCCAAGGCTGCGGGGTTTCCTTCGGCGCCTGCGCAACGGTGATCAGACCGAGCTGGACTTCCAGCGGTTACGCCACCGCCTCCATACACCGTCGTGCGAGTCCTCCTTCGTAGATGGCTTGAGAGCCATCACGCCTCTGAACCAAGACCGGTGGGACCTGAACATGGCGGCCGTCGTCCAGTAGGCTCGTGCCCACGGCAAACACATCTCCATCTTTGTGGCTAAGCATGACACCGATTCGGGGAAGCGACTAAGTGTGGAAGAGCTGTGCCGCATGCTTCGCTACGGAGACGACTCCCAGCTGCCAACCCCCGGGCCTGTTCTTCGACGCTCAAGGGATGTCGGTGGTGGTGACTCGGAACCAGTTTGTCGGGCTAAAGGTGGTCAACGGGGCGCCTTTCAAGGGCCGTCGACATCTTCCCCGACCTCGCCGCCGGCACCATCGCCCCTCGCCCAGCGACGTGACTCTCCATCTCGGGCCACCCGTGGCCGTCCTCCTTTCGAGTCGGAGGATACCGCCGGTTCTGGCCATTCCCGGGGCTCCCGAACGGCACAATCTTGATCAAGAGCAAGACCGGTCGGCCATCCCGAGCCATAATGCGGGGGCAAAGAAAGGCAGATGGAGGGGCAAGCCAGGTTTCAGGTGGGTCACCCACCGAACGGGGTCTCTTTGCACCCCGGCCTTCGCCATGACAGATCAGAAGAGCCAGGGCAAGCAGTTCTCCAACGTCCTCGTCAATCTCAAAGGCGTCCACTCCAGCGGTACGGCGACGCGGCCCAGCTTCATGAGCCTGTACGTGCAGCTGTCGAGGGCGCAGAGCGAGGACGGGCTGCATCTGTTTCGGAAACCGGCGCGCGGTGACTTTGTCGAACCCAAGAACGTGCTTGATAAAGACATGAAGGAGGCCATCCTCAAGCTGGAACGACAGGGCGAGGAAACCAGACGGCGGTTCGAGCAGGACCACAGGCACGAACCGTGGTTCCAGGAATGGGACGCCATGGCCGAATCAGCGCAGGCCACTGAAGCCGCTGACGAACAAGCGGGTGCGTCGCTCTAGTGGTATAGTCAACCCATAATAGATGTCGATCCTGAAAAAGTCATTTTCGCCGCTTTTTGACAGAAACGGTCCGTGCACCACCACCGCCAAGACCAACGTGCGAGATGCTGATTCGAGGAAGCAAAATGCAGATGACGCCAGAGTTCGAGATGCTATCGAGGGAAGTCGAAAAGGAGAAAAAGGCCAAAATTCTACAGTGAGAAGTCGACAGTACAGGTTAGAAATGACACCGTTTTTTGACCTAACCTGGAGTTCCTCCAGGCAAAGGGGCGCTTCAGGGCTTATTGACTTTGCTTAGCAGCCTCGACGACTATGTATCCGGAACCTACGGACATGGAAAGCGGAAGCCTAAGCTTTTGTGCCGGGAAACATCGTAAGAGGTATTGTGGGAACATACAGGAAGACGATAATACAGTCTGACTGTAAAAGATGTAACTAACTACGTGTTGTGCAAAACTAAGAAACTAACAATAGGAAGCGAAGCCACTGCGTGGGTTAAGCCTACGCAGGGGGCCGGGCGGTCTGGAAAGGTGGGTCCGGAATGCCGGCGCCCGCAACAGGTATGTATGTATGAAACCATTCATGTCTCTGCTATTACTTGAGATGATGAGAGCAGCCGCTCCTTCCGTGGGCCCGTATATTTACACTGTCGTGGGAGTGCTGCCGTGTCCTTTTGCGTTGTCTGTGTTAGTAAGATGGAGCTGGGTGCATGGAGAAACGGCATACACGAGATCATCTTGGTTATGTCCTTTTAACGACATGCTTTGGGTCACTGAGGGAGGTATGCGAGGAGCACCGAGGGGGAATCATACTGGGACTGCATATGAGAACAGGTGCCGTGGTTGACGGGATAGAGGGGAAGAAACAGTTTTATTGACATTTGAGGGATATGGGTGTCCATTTAGGAACTAGAGGCTTCGTCAGTCGTAACGGCGAGCTAGTATCCTTTCCGATTCATGCGGTTGATACATCGACCCATCTCGTCATAGCGCGGAGCGCGCTTCTTAAACATCAACAACATTGCGGGCCTAAACTTGGGCATGCGCGCGAGAGCCTTCTTTACCCAGGGGTGGTTTGGGTTGGGCTCGCCTGTCAACCCGTGTGGGTAGATCTCCTCCTCCGGGTAAGGATCTTTTTCGCGGACGCCCTCGTCGCAGAGTCTATCGAAGCCCTCTGTGTAGAGCGCACGCACGCAGGTCCGGCGGAGTTGAGGCACGCATGTCTCTTTCCAGTGCCGTACGGCGCAGTTGTAACAGCGGGACTGGAGCTTGGGAGCGTACGCGGCCGCGTTCACACGGAAATGGTCGCAGTTGGGCCGCGAAAGCCAACGCCACTCGGGTTTGACATTTCGCCAGAGCACGTCCACTTTCCTCACCTCCTCCATGTCCTGGAGCAGGACAATCTTTTGGCAAATCTTGGTTCTCTGGAGCTGCTGCCCCGTCAACCCCGGGCTGGCGTCCTTGTTATCGTTTTCTGTCCAGATGCAAACTTCAGGGGCGGCCATGATGCAAACTAGCGTCTCCAGCTGCTTCGTTTCGGCCAGAAAATTGTAGCGCGCCGGGTGGTAACCCTCGGCCATGCTTATGACGAAATCGTCGTAATCCACAGCGAGCGCTTTTCGGATGCGCAGCAAATCGTGGGCGCGGAATTCGGGTTCGGAATCGCAAGGCTTGGTGCTCACTCCGTAAGGGGTAAAGACGAGGTCGTGATGTGCGAACTGGACCGGCCGAGCTCGCTCGGTCGAGGAGTCGGGATCTACGCCCTGCATGTCGAAGTAGAATCCCATATGCTGGATCACATTCCAGGCTTCCTTGCAGGCCATTGCGGCCAACGGGCCGTCGGCTGGGGAATTCGGTGGCGGCCCACCCTCGTCGTAGTCATTTTGCCAGAATAGGACTTTGGGGGGTCGTGCCGCGGCCATCCTCCAGATGGTAAATCTGACCTTCGAGGGGAGTTTGGAGAAATAGTGGAAAGTCCGTCTCTTAGTTGGCCCGATGGGCTTGATGGCGTGGTGGTGCTTCTTGGGAGCGTACATGCGCATAAGCTTCATGATGGTGTCCCCAGAGAGGTGGGATTCGAGAAGCAGCTCACGCATCATGTCGATCCAGGGTTGTATTTTCTCGAGGGGAATCGGGTCGTCCTCGGGGCTCGGTTTAGAACCCGAGCGAGCAGCGAGGGAGTCGTCCAGGTCGAGGTAGTTACGGCTGCCATCAGGGACGTGAAGGCACTGTAATTCATTGGGGGGGAGATCGCCCAGGAGCCATTGTGGATGTGAATATGTGAAGATTTGAAGAAGGGCTGTCGTTCTTTGTGCCAAGGAAGATTGCTTAGATAAACAAACCCCGGACGCTGAGGCGTGTATGGGAATAATAGGGGGGTTTATCTGACGTGGATTGGATTCAATGTTGATGATCCTGATTTATTATTTTTGGTGATGAGAGGAATGTTTGGGGAAAGGCTCTTGATGCAAGGATGAGCGACGGAGCATCCTATACTCGTTTGGCTTTGTGAAATATCGTATTTTTGGGCCCGGAACAACGTTAATAATCTTTAGTTTGCAATTCCTTGATTCTATGTTTTGCTTTGTTTCAAGTCCCGTATCGTTCTTCGAACATCACTCTTTCCTACACAGATGTCGGCTCCTGGCCTTTCTCGCCATCTTCAATTCCGGCACATGGATGGATGGCCTCTAAGCGATGGTACGTACTGCTTCAACTTGGCTTGTGCCCGTGCGTTTCTTTGATGGCGCGGCGTCTGCATTACTGCCCAGCTGGCGTGATATTTGATTCCTTTGTATAGGTATCAGGGCCCTCCAGGGAGAGTCGCGCCCACCAGGACCTCGCAGAACACCAAAGTTCCTCTGGGCTCGCTCACACAGGTTCGGTGAGCCATATGCCTGCCTTTACTTGTCGACGAAGTAGCCTGCTTTGGCGTGGCCGTGCGGTCCAATAGCGTAGGTATCATGACATAGGGTGATTGCATGGCACTCAGTCCCCACAGGCTTGGAAAAGGGAGGTGTAGCGCGTGTGACTTGAGGAAGAGGCGGTCGTTCTTGAGCCTCTACCCATCCAGCCATCAAACCCCGCACTTCAGCCCTTCCTTTGCCGCCGCGCAACATCCGCCCAACTCTGAGCCGTCGGCAACGACGGTACGTCCCGTCGCGCGGTGTCAGCCGAAGCATACGCCGCCCTCGGCGACGACAGCGCAGACCCACTCAGCACGGGGCTCAGCGTCCCCGACGGGGGGAAAGCCGCCGAGCTGGTCACGCTCGCTGTGTCCCGAATGCTTTCGCCGTCGCCGGTTCCACTAACGATACTTTCTCTCCGCTCCCGGTCGGTCAACCCGAGGCCCAGTCCGTGCGGGATGTCGGGCGAGGGAGGCGTTTCTGGACCCGGTTCTCCGTAGCGGGGGCTCTTTGGCACCGCGGTTGGGCTCTCTTCCCTCCGCCCGTTGACCACAGCCGGACTGCGGGTCGTTGGGGGCGTTCCGGGGACGCTGGTCCCCGCCACCGAGACCTTGGAAAGACTGAGGCGGCTGAAGACGGAGTCGCTCATGCTATACTGAGTGCTGTCCGTCGATGATAAATCCTGGTGACTGATGGGTGTGCCTGTCCGGATGGGCGTCGCGGGGTTGACAGCGAGGGGTAGCCGTGAACCGGATTTGCGGGACCGGAGCGTGAAGCCCGCGAGTTCGGGACTGGGGTTACTAGCGGAGATGGGGCCTGGGGATGGAGATGGCGACGGGATGAGAGAGTCCCGCCGGAGCGGCGCAGGCAGAGCGGACGTCTTTGAGATAATGCTGCCCTTGACGCATTGAGAGTAGCTAAGACGGGGGCTGTCTCCGATTACTGACGGGGCGGGACTCGGCTGTTGGACCTGAGTCGCCGGTGGCTGTTGCTGGGGAGCCACAGCAGGTTGGAGATTTGATTTTGGGCGCGTTCGCATCATGAGGCCGCCTGGGCTGGGTAGGTTGGATGGGGGGAAGGTTGGCGGATGGGTAGGGGGCAACAGGGCGGCGCTGTTTCCGGTTCTGTTGCATCTCGGCGAGGAGCTCATCGACCATTTTCCGCCCGGCCCGCTCCTTGTCGAGCTGGGCTTGCAGTTTGGTGATGTTCTCAGCATGCGTTCTGCGTTCGTTTTCCAAGCGACGCTCGTACGTCTCATCCCGGGCTTCTAGGACCTGCAGACGCTTAGCCATTTGCGCATGTTCTACCCGCAGGCGGTCGCGCTCCTCAGCAACGACTTTGAGTTTGGTGTTTATGCGTTCCGTCAAGAATCGGCTACTTCGCTTGCAGCATTGGAAGTGGTAAACTTGGTCAAGCCCGCCAAGCTCGACGAGTTCGGAATCAACTTGGAAGATAACCGGCCTCGAGCCTGGCTCCTTTGATACCATCCTCGAAGCTAAACCGACAATGTGTTTGGGGCCAAATGTCGGGGCGTTGGCATCATCCACCTCCTGCGACGCCAAGGCCAAACCCTCAAGCTTGGGTAAAAACTTTTCTAATTTCTCGGCCCTGCCGTCCACGCACACATCTCCGAGCAGGGCGTCGAACTCATCCAAGGGCGCGTTGTATACCACGGTGAAAATGTTGAGCAGTATCAAGCCCAGGGAGTAGACGTCGGCCGCTTTCATGGACCAGTCGGTCTTGCTTTGATGCAGCTCCGGGGCCCTCCACTTCGGGGTTCCTTGTAGGCCCCTGGTCATGGTGTTTTCTCGGTCGTGGACGTCCTTTGCAATGCCAAAGTCGGCGAGGTAAACGCGGCCCGGGTTGAGAAGAATGTTGGAGGGCTTGAGATCGAGATGGCGTATATTGGACCCGTGACAATATGCTACGGCCCGGGTGATGCATCCCATGATTCGGAGCAGGTACTCAAGGGGACAGTTATCGTTGTTGGTAGAGGTCCGAACAGTTGAGTGGAGGGCTTCGATGGCGGTAAAGTCGCCGAGGCCTAGGGCATGTAGTCGGTTGATGATGTCGTCGCGATCACCGTCGTTTGTTCGGAGGGAATCGATGTCGTTGAGTAGAATGTCAAGGTTGCAAACGGCAACGGGCCAGAGGAGGAGGTAGAGACTTGTCTGAATGCAGTACGTCCCGACGAGTTTCACGATATGGTCATGGTCGAGTCTCTCCATAACGTTGGCTTCCTCCCGCAACAGGCACATCGGATATCTCCGGTATGGCGGCCGGACCTGCTTCCGCGCCAGGCATATTGATCGGTTGTTCCAGTGAAACTGAACTTTCTGCACGACGCCAAAACTTCCGGAGCCGAGTGGTGTGTCGCAGGCGACCTTGAGCCGGTCGTGGAGCTTTCTCGCTTCGGTGAAGTCATCGAGGGGGAGGTGCTTTCCTCTGATCAAGTGTTAGCCATTTCAGATAGAATCTGCGAGAATGGATGGGTTGAGCTTACATGCCAGACCAGTGGTGCCGCGACGCTTCCCAGTCTTCCAGAATTTTGCGCTCGCACTCCTCAAGTTGCGAATGGGGCAGGCGTTTCATACCGGCGTGGGACGTCGGCATCACCGTTTGCCATCCTCCATCACCGAGCTCGCTCATACCGGGCCGATGCGGGTCCCCGTGGGGAGAAGAGCCGACGCGAGTTTGGAGAAGCGACGAACTGCTGGGGCTAGACGGGCGCGGAGAAGTGGAACACTTGTGTGATTAAGCATTCGCCATGAGACCGCGCCGAAAAAGAAAAAATGAAACACAACAGAGCTAGTATTTACGACACAGAGCAAAGTTCGGATAGAAGACAAGAATCCTTGAATGTGTCGAGATCACTTTTCTCTTTTCGGCGCTGGAAATTCTGGGCGGTGGGAGGGAGCGCAATGTGCATGCCGAAGCACAGCCCTGCTGCGCGGCTTAGCTCCGGCAGGAAAGCGGGGATGCGGAGCCAATGAAGATCGTCAAGGGTCCATTGGCCAATGCTTGTTTCATGGAGGCCACTCAGAGAAACTCTTCCTTCCCTGCTGGTCAGTTCCATCCTGATTTTTTTGAGTTGTCAAAGCATCAAGCATGCGATGGGGCTCACCATGGTCGGACAAGGCTTCAACGCCCCCATGGTGATTCTCGTCGCTCCGGGGTGGGAAAGCGTGTAGAACCGATGTACGACTATTTGCGCTTCTCCCACCAGAGCAAACTGCCTGGGTGCCCCTAGTTAGTTCTTATGCGCAAGCTTCAACGCTACTGCGGGCGATGGGGTCATTCCGAGTTCATGGTCTGGGCCCAGTGCGAGGTGGAACTGGCCGAAGAGCTGCGCGACCAAAAAAGGTGGAGCGGGCTGGAATGGCATTTCGAGTCAAGCTATGGCGATGAGTTGTTTCGAGATCATGGATGATGCATGGTCTTGGATGGAAAATCAAAACCCCTGAAGGGGAAAGAAAGCAGTTGACGAAGAGCCTGGCCGATGCGGTTAGTTCGGCTGATAAACCCCGCCCCATATGTCAGCAACAGCGGCGTTGATCCTTCTCTAACAATTGCAAGCCTAGGAAGCATGGTTTGATGCTAGGTGTTGTTAGTGGGGCCATCCACCGAAGCTTCTCTCCCGCATCCATGCATGAGTAAGCAAAGTTGCTTTCTCAACAGTTCCCGTTTCAACAGCTCACAGCACATGCCATGGCTTTTCTGTCGGGCGAGTGAGACTTACAAGATCCCCAAGGACCGTCTCCTCTTGTACGGAACACCGATCGACGAAACACAGCAAGGACAAGACCCGGACATCGCCAAGTGCCAAGACTCGCACTTCGGAATAACCTCCGCACCAGTTCGGGTCGTTTTACATCCGTGACAAAAAAGCAAGCTTGGAACCGGCTCTTCAACTACGAAGGACTTCGTACCCAGGAGTGATAATTCATTCCATCGAAGAGCCGTTTAATTGCGAATACACCTCAACTTCCATTTTCACTTTGCGATTCGGAAGAGTCGTTTCCCTCGAGCCAAGGAGTAGACTTGTGGCCACGCGGTCGAGGCGTCGTGTCGTGGTCACAACTACTTACAACGTGAGAGATCGAGAGATTTAAGAAAGGCTCAAAGCAGACAAGCCCAATGCGGTATTCCAAGGGTGACCTCCCTATCCTTAACGCCGAGGTTTATGATGATGGCCCCGCGTTTGGCTCCACGAAACGATTAGCGGCGACACGGAAGAAGCAGGCATCCTCGTCATCTCGTGATCCCGAAGACGGCCCGCGGAAACGGGCAAGGGCGCAGGCCGCCGACACCTCTGAACATGAAGATGAGGCCAAGAGGGCAAGGGGCCGGCCGCGTCTGGACACCAAGGACGAGACAGCCGCCGACGTGAGTTGACTCCAGCTTGACACCGTTACTAGATAGTTAAAGACGTATGACATCGTCGGTCTCCTTCCTACCAGGATGCGAGAAGTTTTATGTGATGCTCGCTCTGACAACAGCTGCAGCGGCGGCGGACGCAAATTCGCCTTGCACAACGAGCCTATCGGAACCGTAAGGAAAATGCCATCCAGACACTGGAGAAAAAGGTCCAAGGCCTCAAGGATACCAACGAAGAGATGAGCAACGCATTCATGCAGCTCCATGATTTTGCCTTAAGCAGCGGCGTGCTAGACCAGCTCCCCGAATTCGGCCGCCAGCTGCGGGAGACGACCGAGAGGTTCCTCTCGCTTGCCCGAGAAGCAAGCGACGATGATGCGAAGGATGGTGAGCCAGACGGCATCGCGAGCAGCCATGAGAAGAGGAAACTGGAGAGTGACCGTGCTCGCTCCGACTCGCCAGGTAACTCCAAAAGCGCAGCCCGAACATCAGCAGCCACCCCCCGTCAGCCCGGCTTGGAGGAGGACCCCAAGACCCTTCGCAGTCGGCTCATGCTGTCCTACGACCCGACCACCGAAGCAGACTTCGCCCCTGCCATTACTCTCCCCCAGCAACATCAAGCCCTCGTGAGCCTTCCTCCACAGGAGAAACCCACCTTTGCCTACGAAGTCCTCACCCACCCGACCCTCGAAAACGCAAGCTTCCCCTTCCAACCCAACCCCGACTTGTCCCTCTTCGACGGGTTCCCGACACCCCCCCTCCTCCAGTCCCCCGCTATCCCGCACACGTACGCCAACTTCGAGACGACCTTCGGCCGGCGCCTACACCGCTACTCTCTCGAACAGGCCCTCGTCCTCCTCACCATGCCGAACCCCCCGCAGGCCTTCATCAAGCGCGTCTTCGGCTTCTGCCTGCAGCTCGAATCGCCCACCACCATCCAGCGGCGGCTCCGGCGCATGCTAGCCCGCGACGCCCAACAATCCCTCTTCAACTGGCAATTCCCCTTCTTCAACCTCGGCGGCGCCGGCACCCACTTCGACGACCCCTGCTCCATCCCAGCGAACTCACCACCCCAAGACGACCAACAACAACAACCAGGCCAACAACCACCACCAGCACCCCCGCACCGCATGGGCAACCAAGGCACGCAGGACGTGCTCAAGCCCTTCGCCACGGCCGGCTTCGGGACGGGGCCCTTCTCAGCCGAGATCAACGCCGTGCGCGACCGCGACCTGCACGCCGACATGCGCATGGCGCTGCCCGGGTTCGCCGGCGAGTACTTTGACTGCGACGAGGCCGAGATGTACCTGTACCAGCGCGGCGTGGTCATCCCGCCCGGGTCGGACGTGGTGACGGTGGATGTGGATATGCGCCAGTTGGGGACGTACCGGGAAAGTGAGTGGCGGGTGGAGACGGTGGATTTGCTGGGGGGTAGTGGTGGTGGTGGGGGGAGTCCGTCGTCGACGGGGAGTAGTAGTTTGGAGAGTGGTGTGTCGGGGCTGGGTGAGCCGGTGGTGGCGCAGTCGTGGGGGGTGGTTGGTCCGGGTATGGTGGACCCTTCGCTTGCGGATGTGTTTTCGCAGGGGACGAATCCGTTCATGCCTGCTACCACTATGGCTGGGTCGTCGTCGATGGGGGGTGGAGGTGATATGCTTCCGTTCGGGCTGGTGGAAGGGGATATGATGGGGACGGCGGGCTATGGGATGCAGAACCCGAACCGGCAGAGGGTGGTTGTTGATGTGATGCGGCTTGTGAAGGGTATGTGTGCTGTGTGACCTCCCGTTTTGGATTTGGACTGACGTTGTTTTTGCAGCACTGACCGAGCGGGGGATATGCTTGGGCAGGACACCCGGGTTTAAACAAATGGATATTGATGACGCGTTTTGGGAGTCGGTCAAGAATGCCTGGCTGGGTGCTTGAGCGGTGGAATGGGAGATGGGTGGTGATTTTGGATATGCCATCTTTGTGATGTAACCACTGATGGTTTTTGTATTAATCTCTTGGGTAAGCAATTTGAGGTAGTCTTACGCAACTTAATCTCTTGGTAGAATATGCAGCTTGTTGGTTCCAGAACTTCTGAGTTGGGGGGACGCTGTCCGGTTCTTATAGTTTCATGAGTTTCAAGAGCACATCACAGGATACATAGCCCCGTCGACGACATAATGATCGCTAACATAGAAAAATTCCAACTTTAGATGGGGGGATGATGGCTTAGTAAGAGTTGGTCGCAGGGAGAAAGGGTCTTTTATATTGTTAGACAAACTCCTAAGTCCCCAATATTCCCAGTTGTCATACATTGGCGTCGTGGATGAGGTTGCCTCTTTGACAATTCCGCTCCGGGCCTTCTTATGCCCAGCAGGGACCCCAAGGACGATCCTATCATCCACATGGTAGAGCATTTTCCCGTTGTCGAGGGACGATATTGCCCTTTCGGCAGCGTATCTGTTCCTTTTGTTTGCCCAATTTGTCTACACCTTCACCCCATCGTTGTGCAAACCCTAGCAGCATCAAGTCTGTTTTGGCGGCTCAGTTCCCATCGGCGGCCTAGTCTCCATTGAGGACCTAGTTTCCATTGACGGCTTGGTATGTGTTGGGGCTTCGGATTTTGTTGACGACCCACTCTCCGTTGACGGCTCGGCCGGTTTTGTTCCCCCCCGTGCGTTGCCATCAGAACCAGCCTTCGGGCTTGCTTTGCGCACCGCCACCCGCCTGATGCTCAGCTTCAGCTCTTCCACCGGCTTATTCCTCTCGTTCACATCCGTCCTGGGAACTTTCTTATGCACTGGCCTCCTCCACACCCTGACCTTCGGCTCCTCGCCCTCTCTCCCCTCCCGCACGAGCCTGTCCTTCTCCTCCTGCAGCGCCATCTCCTGCTCCGTCAACACAATCTTCCACATGGCTTCTCCGCGCGCCTGAAGATCCACCCTTTCTATCTCAGACACATACGACAGGTACGATATCGCATCCCACAACGACTGCTTGTACGTGTTCTCCCCCCTCGTCATCGGCAGCACCGGCCGCCCCTCCTTCTCCGCCAGCATCTTCTCCACCAACCTCTCCCACTGATCCTCCTCAATGGCACTCTCCATCTCCTCCCCGCCCTGCATCTCTATAATCCTCGTAATCCGCTTCGCCCTGCGCTGCGACTTCTGGCGGATGACCCGCTCCAGGAACCTCGGCTGGGGCTTCCAGAAGCGCAGGAAGGGCACGCCCAGCGTCGCGGACAGCGTGGGCGGTTTGCGCACGCCCGTCTTGAACGCCTCGAGCGGCCGCGGCGGGAGGGCGGGCTCGTAGACGGGGGGCTCGCCGTCGGCCGACACGCGCTTGAGGAGGGGCGCGTGGCCCTCGATGGGCGCCGTCGAGATGCGCTTGGCGGCGGCCTCGGCGGCCTTGGCTTTCAGGGCTACGACGCGGGCTTGGTTCTTGCGCAGGAAGATGAGGGCTTCGGTGTGTTCCGGGCTGGTTGGGTCGGCGGCGCGGGAGAGGAGGGTCAGGTAGCGGTAGCCATTCTTGAGGGCGGATACGACGAGGCGCGGGGAGGTGTCGCGCTTGTTGCGGTGGAACGCGTTGCGGACGAGGGTTTGGATTGGGTTGGCGGGCCCGAGGGGCGAGGCCGTTGAGAGTTCATCGGGGAGGGGCACACGCAGGCCTTGGCGGAGGAGGGACCGGTAGAGGGCGAAGCCTGGGAGGGGTGGGCAGTGTGGTCAGTGGTGAGTCGTAAAATGTTAATCTGGGGTGCCTTGGTGTGTCTCACATGCTGTCCGGTGCTGCGAGGAGCGGGCGGGTGCGAAGAGTGACGGCATTCATCTAGTGGTGGGGATGTTGCACCCAGTTGAGCTGATGCGACAGTGGAGGATGTGCGACTCGAGGAATTTTAAGGTTGCGGGACGCGCCTGGAGACAAGTCCGCAGCACGAAGTCACGTGATCCAATTAAACCACCCTCTAAGTGTCATCCCAGATTGTGCTTGGGGAAGAGCTTGTGTCATGAATAAGAAGGGTTTCTAATACTAGTGTGTGTTGCGGGGTTGATTGCTGGTGGTGCGAGTAGTGTTTGACCCTGCTAGCCCATATGCGCTCCTTTGCCCGTCCCGCACGGCCCTTGCTGGCGAAGCTGACTCGGCGTTTATGACCTGACGTCCATCCTGTGGACTACTTTCCCGCAATGCTCATGTGTAAATTTCTCATTTGTAAATGTCGTACTTAGATCCCTCGGGAGGCTGGGGGAGCTTCTTGTTCTCGTCCATGAACCTGAGGCTAGGTTAGCGTTGGGTGTTCGCAGAAACAGCAAACGTAATCGACCTACTTCCGTATCGAAATCAGCGCTGACTCAAGGCTGAGAGGGTCCTCCTTCGGCCGGGCGTTCTTGGCAAGCTCGGCAGCAATCCTCGTCCAGTCCCGTAGGATGCCGACCGCGTTCTTGTCCACCTTGCCGTCCGTCGGGTTCACGCCGGGAAGATTGATCTGGCTGACGAAATGGATCTCAGGCGGCTCCCGGGGGTAATTAGGACCGCACTCCATCTTGAGTTCGTAGATGCGGTTCTCGTGTTGACCCTACGCGCAAATAACGGTCAACCTTGGGTCAAGCCCGCAATTACAGGACGGCCGACGGGTACGATGCGTACGTGAGGAGGGCCCCAAATAGTCCCGCGCCAGTGTGTCATGTAGATGTCTTCGGGATCTTCCAAGCCGTACGAGCAGGCCCCTATGTACCGACCGAGTCGTTTGTCAGCAAGTGCATTTGTACTCGCTGGGTGTGCCTAGAGTGAGCCTGCGACATCGAAGGGAACCCACCTGCGCCCATGCCCTTCTCGCCCTTCTCCAACTCGGCAAGGAGTTTGAAATTCCTCGGAACCTGCGCCGCCATCGTGATATGTGTTAAGTATGTGCCGAGAATGTGGTGAGAAAGGCAACTCAGGCGGTGGATGGCGATCTGCACAACCCGGAATAACAAGGCGGATGCGAAGTAATGAATGGAACCTCGAAGCCGTTGGGCGTACAGAGGAGGGGTGCGGGGACCCATGTCATGGGCATGCAAGTCAGCCGTGGATGGAGGGGCAGAATAGGCGGTGTGTAATTCTGCCTCTCTTTGTCACCAAGGTACCACTGCTCGGCTGGCAGGCTTGAGGTGGGTCCCAGGCCAGCTGGAGCTCCAAGTGGACAGCAGGCGAAGGAGGCCCATTCTCATCTCACAACTGACAACCAACGACGACCAGCACCGCTCATAACGCATATCACATCCACACACCAATGCCAAACCAGAGTCAAATCACGAATTCAGGACAGTAATGCGGTGACGAACCCCACACTACGTTTTATGGGATACGAATATGACGGCCCAGCTTTTGGCGTCGGAGCTCGCCAACTTAATCCAAGAGAGCAAAAGGAAACACAATGACTTGCGACAGGTAAGTTGGTTGAGTTACGCGCACGCGGCGCTCGCACTGTCTACCCAACCTTCCCGATCCTGGGGTCACCTCATCCTTCTGCGCATCATTGGCAAAACTGACCACAAAAAAGGCTACTGAGAAGTCGTTAGAGGAACTAAAAAGTCTAAGAACAACATCTGAAGCTCAGACTTCGGAGGGTGTGTTAACCTTCTCAAACCGTCATTCAACACATGCACCGTACTTACACAGTGCCAGAACTCGCCCAGCGCCCGAACTTCGTCAACCCCTTCATCATCGCATGCGGCACCAAAAATGTCAAGTTCACTGGGATTGCTATTGTCTGTTTACAACGGCTCATTGTATCTCGAGCACTGCCAAGGTCTAGGTTGAGCCAGGTCCTCGAGGCGCTGCAACAGGCAACCTCGGCCGGCCTCGATGTTCAGCTCAAGATTCTTCAGGCACTCCCGGCCTTGCTTTCCAACTACTCTGCGGATGTAAAAGGGGATCTTCTAGTCACTGCCTTGAATGTCTGCTTCATTCTGCAGTCCAGCAAGAATGCTATTGTTAACAACACATCGGCAGCCACCCTGCAGCAGTTGGTAGTCTCTGTCTTTGACAAGGTTGTCGCTGAGGATAGTGAGTACCTCTTCTGCTTCTGGGATGACCGGACGCAGCTGTATGCTAAAAACAAACACAGGATCCGGCGGTGACTCTCCCGTCGTTGGTGAGGTCCCTATCCAGGATGGCACCCTCCCACTCAAGGCTGCGACTATGGATGCGTACAGGGTAGGGTTATCCACTGCCCCGAATGGTCGGATCTAGCTAACCGACCCTGTTAGGTCTTCAACGATATCTGTCTCCTCACTGAAGGCCAGCGCCCCGAATATCTTCGTGTTTCTGGTCTGCCTCAGACCTTCGGTCTCGAGTTGATCGAATCAGTTCTCACAAACCACGCCGCTATTTTCACCACGCATGCCGAGCAGGCGGATATCCTGCGAGCGAGAGTTATGCCTTTTATTATCAGTGCACTGCGTGGAAGGCCAAATTTCGCGACCAGTGTTCGCCTTGTGCGCATCCTGTACACGCTCCTGCGCCGCCACCTCTCCATCCTCCCTTCCGAGAGTGGAGACGCACTCGAGATTTTGACACAGCTGCTCGACCAAGACAATACTTTATGGAAGCGCGCGCTCTGTATGGAGGTTTTCAGGGGCATCTTTGCCGAACACGCCTTGCTCCGACGCATTTTCATGCTCTATGATGGCGAAGAAGGCCAAAAGAGCATCCTGAAGAACTTAACCGCTACGTTTGTTCGTGTAAGTACGGAGAAGCCAGTGGTCATTGGCTTGGGGCATCAGTCCACCATCCCCGTCGCCAGCTCCAACATGGGGCCGTCAACCGACCAGGTCATGCTCGAAGCGAGCGGAGTGACTGGCATAATTTCTGGTTCAGTGAGCTCAGATGGTCACAATACGGGCATCAGCAGCCAATGGAGCACCATGCGAGTGCCCTGCATTGATCAACTCGACAAGACGGACGCCCCTGCCATACCGGAGTCGTATGTCTATAGCCTCACTCTGTCGTGTATCACGTCACTGTCCGAGGGTCTTGCAAAGTTTATCCTTCCTCTAACCGTCGCGAGCGAAGGGAGGAGGAAACGAGGCTCGAAACCGGAAGCTGGACGTGACTCGCCTGCGCCCCTTCTAGACGAAGCTTCCGATAAGTTGGAACGCTCGTCGTCGTTCAAGCGAAACCCAGTCCCGGTCAACCCACTAACGCTAGAGAACCATCCTCTGTACGCCGAAATCAGGGTTTGTGCTGCTTTCATCGATGGGTGCTGGCCCGCCATCCTCGCAACCTGCTCCACCTTCCTCTACGCTGCCCTAGATTCGGAATATTACCACGGTCTCGTCCGAGCTTTCCAGAAATTCGCACACGTCGCCGGCCTGCTGCAACTTTCGACTCCCCGGGACGCTTTCCTTACAACTCTAGGCAAGGCCGCCGTGCCCCCCAACGTGTTGACCGCGTGCATGAACGCTGGCCCTAACCGGCCGCCTCCCAGCCCATCGGCCACTGAGGCGCCGGGCAACATTTTCAGCAACGCTCGCGGGCTGCTCAGCGTCGAAAGCCTGGTTAGCCCATCGCTTTTAGGGGCCGAGAAGCAGAGGCAACCCTCAATGGATGCTAGCGGGACCACTCTCAATACCAGGAATCTGCTGTGTCTTAGAGCACTGCTGAACCTCGGTATCGCCCTCGGCCCGACACTCGCATCATCCTGGAGTATTGTACTAGAGACCCTGCAGCGGGCTGACTTCGTCATGTTCTCCTCCGGTAAGGCCGCAGGAAGGACACCCATCGCGGCCAAAGGGCCCGATCCCCAAGCTGAGCAGGAAGCAAGTACCCTTCTTGCTAATTTTGGCACCGAGATTCGGGCCGTGGAGACGGCAGCCTCGCGGCTTTTCGAGAGCACTGTTGATTTTCCGAATCACTCTTTCGTTGAGATTGTTGGAGCCGTATGCAACCTGTTGGAGCATGTCGAACCTGCCTCAGAGGCGAGCAGTCGCCCACAATCACCCCCCTCTACTGCAGGCCTGAAGGCTCCGTCACTTTCTACCAAGCGCGTCATGAGCGTTTCAGCGCCGTCGCAAACAGCACCAAACCAAGAGAACCAATTTGCCCTGTCCAAACTTGGCGACCTTGCTTCCATCAACATCGAGAGGCTGCTAGCATACGACCCCCAAGTGTCGGGCTGGGCACCCTTGGTTGACGAGCTAATCAACGTTATGAGCTCGGTGTCCGATACTGGCCCCGTTAGAGCCCGAGCGGCGGAGACGTTGGTTCGCATCCTTCTCGAAGAGGCCAATGCCATTTCATCCCAGCCAGAAGAAGTGCGGGGCCCGATACAGAGGCGCCTCCTTGAAGCCTTCCGTGACTCTCTCGTGCCGCTTCAAGCACCCGAGCGCCACGTGTCTATTACAAGGCACGCCATCGATGTTGACATCCACAAGATTGCCCTCGAAGGCCTCAAGAGTCTCTTGGAAAACTGTGGCGAATCACTCATCAGCGGCTGGGAGCTGACGTTTGAGATTATCGACACCATTTTCATCGAACGCAATCTTAGCACCGATGTGAAACAGGATGGGATGTCCCAACCGCCTGCTGTCTTGCATACCCGTGCCGTCAAGCTTATCCGCCCATCATTCGCTTCGCTACAGCTGATATGCTCCGACTTCCTCCCTTCTCTCCCTAATGCTTGCTTCCTCAACCTCGTCGATACCCTGTACAAGTTCTGCACCCAGGAAGATGAACTCAATGTGGCGTTGACAGTAGGTCGAACTCCAGGCTCATGTGGGCATTGCTGACATGTCTAGACTGTTACCTTCTTCTGGGCCATTTCGGATTTCCTTTCTGCCAACAGCAAGTCCATGTTAATTACCGAAGCTATGATCCCTGAGACAGGAGATCAGTCGCTTGTCGACCTGGCTACAAAGCCTTCCGAACAAGGTTCAGCCGCGGCATTGTGGATGCTACTTCTCCTTCGGCTCACGTCGGTTGCAGCAGACCAAAGATTAGAACTACGTAATAGTGAGTACACTGTATCCTAGATCGAGGATTAAGCTGACCCCGCAGGTGCCATCCAAACTTTGATGCGGATAATGTCCGCATACGGCGAAAGCCTGAGCCCGGAAGCTTGGTCAGTTTGCATGAGAGTAGTCATTTTCAGTCTCCTCTCATCAGTCGAGCACGAGTTACGCCCCGTCGACAGCCCCTCTACGAAGGACAGCGGCAAAGACGAGTGGAAGGAGACGGCAACTGTCGTCATTCAAGGAGTATCGGGCCTGTTTGGATCCTATCTCCACCCCCTCACAGCGCACCGAAGCTTCTCAGAGATATGGCGGGACCTCATCGGCCATTTCCGCGCTCTTCTGAGTCTCCAAATTCTCGACATTAACGCCGATACATACAGCGCTGTTCGAGACATTCTTCACGCCTGCGCGGAGCAAGAAAAAGGTGGCGTAGGCAAGGAGAGCCTTGATTTGGCATGGGACCTGTGGTCTCAGGGAATACCCGTGCCCGGAGACGGCAAGGACGACAAATCGTCTGACAATCAGAAGTGCCTTCTGGTTTGGGTTGAAGCACTTTTGGAGCTTTATGGGTTGATCCAAGCAGATTTTAGCGTCGAGCGAGTCCGTCGGATGTTGACCTTGCTCCGCGATGCGATGCAGCATGCAACACCTGGCGCGTATGCCAGCGATATCGAGTTTGTCACGCCGTTGCAGGGTAAGATTCTCGAGGTCTTCCGTATGGTGCGGACGGATTTGCATGGCGTCCCATCGGCGATGATCGCGCAGGTGGCCGAGTTTGTTTCTCTGGCATTTGCCCAAGAAAACGCAGCCAAGGCAGCAGAGAAGCGCACATACGTCGCCATGTCCAAGGAGAGCATGTCTATCCTACAGTCGTTGATCGTCAACAATGCTTCGGAAAAGGACATTTACGAAACCGGGGCGTTTGCGAGTGCATTATCTGCCCTAGCCAAACCCGTCATTCTCAAGTACCAGTTCAAGATCGTCACGAAGTCAGTCCAGCCGTGGAGGGTAGCAACGCAGTCAACCTTGGCTGTGCTCGAGGCAGCGCTTCCTCAGCTATCTGGATTGGAGCTGCCTCGAGAAACGCTGCAGGATATTTGGCGCATAATCATCTCCATGGCCAACGGTATTATCAGCGCTGATTTGACTGCGCCCGCCGCCGTAACCGCGGACATTCCGGACGACCAAGAATTCGACATCGTATCGTTCCGACAACTGCGTGGACTCATCATCCCAGCACTGGGCGCAGAAGTCATCCTCGACGAGACGAGAAAAGCCTACGCCGAGGGTCTGTTCCGCACATCCATCATCCACACCCCCGCCCCCGCCGAGGCGGACATCATCTACGGAACCCGCAGCGGCAGCGACCCCGTCGGCCTAGGCACCTTCTTCAAGAAGCGCGACGGGCGCACCATCGATCCGACCCCCACGAAGCGCAACCTCATGAGCCGGGTGTGCCTCGACGAACTGTTCGCGCTCGTGCAAGACTCCTCCGCCTCCTCCTCCGATGCGCCGGTAACCCCCGCCGAACCCACCACCCCCACCACCAACAACAACAACAACCTCCACGTCCGCCTGGCACGCACCGTGGCACCATACCTAATCCTACGGTGCGCTTTGACGCTGCGCGGCTATGTGGCGGACCAGCCGCTGCGCGGGCGCATGCCGCAGCCGCTGTCGCAGCGCACGGAGCTCGCGCACATGCTGCGGCGGCTGGTGGCGCTGCGGTCCGAGCCCGATGCCATTCCCGACGTGCCCAACGTGGAGAGCGAGACCAGAAAACACCTCCTGCGGCTGTACCCGCTGCTGGTGAGCGCGGTGCAGGTGGCGGGCGCGGCGGGGGATGAGATGGTGCTGGGGTTGGTGAGGGAGGGGTTGAAGGTGGTGGGTGGGGAGTTTGGGTTGTGAGAGGTGATGATGATGATGATGAGCATGGAGTAGGGGGGATGGTTAGGTATTTATGTGTGGATTTTGTGCGTGTCTGGTAGAATACACTGACTGAGTGGGTTTTAATGGGCCCCTATCTGACGCCATGCCTCGCTTTTCTCTTTTCCCAGAGCTCCATGCCAATCACTGAGACAAGTAATGGTACAGCCGATAAAGCGCACTTCTCAACTCCTACCCGAGCCACCGCCCACCATTGCCTCTGCTTCCCCATGAGTCCTCAGCACATGCCCTCCCCGGACTTGTCCTCGCCAGACTCCTGCCCCTAAGCAGCCGTCTGCTCCGGCGCCGGCGGGGCATTCCCCGTCTCCTGGGCCTCAATAACACCGCTCTTAGCCAGCGCATCCCTCGCCATAGTCTTCGCCTGAGCATCCCCCACCTTGCCATAGACGCTCAGCGCCGTAGCAATCATCCCGCCAATATCGCCCACATTCCCCGGCACCACCACGGCCGTGCCGAA